ACAACAATGGTGACGTGATGTTATCTGCAACTTCAATGGAAGGATAAACTTCAAGAAAAAGGAAAAAGCGAACGCGGAAGTACAACTTTGCTAGCATTCCCTTCAATAAGGTTTAAATTCGCTAGATTCTAAAGTCAGTCAACTGGTAGTAAGCATCAATTTCTACATTCCCAACTAGTGAGCAGTCCGCCTCGGAAAAGGTGCAAAATTCGTTTCTCTTAGAAATTATTACTTTCACGTCAACAGATGAAACGCAAATTCAGCCTTTTTGTTCAAAACAATCAGAAGCAGCTAACAAAAAGTCTCGATGGAAATAAGAAATGGAAAATAAATACCTGATCTGGTGAATTTTTCTCCACAATGCAGAGCCTTGGTGAAGGAGCATCTGCCGGTAATTGAACCATTCCAGTAGGATTAGAGGCAATACCACTAGCCGAGAGTTATCTGAAAGTATTTGTTAGTTGGCTGGTCTTCCTATAAGAATGAGTGAACTACCGACATTTATTCGAACAATGAAAACAATGTATCATCATACGTGCGTTTGAAAAGAAAGTGCGATAGCCTCACAATCGCAATTCATAAGAATAAAAGGTGAAGACTGAGAATAAGTCTGTCTGACGTAGTCAAACTTAAAACGAGAAACAAGAAAATGGAGAGGAACTACATAAAGGAATGGAAAAGGAGTAAAATGGTAAAGGAGATGGTTTTCGCATCAAGCCGACACCGATCTATTGACGGTTCGATAGCTGCGACTTTTATAACGACATAATGAAGCACTTCATGAACAAAACGACTTGTACCTAGCAGGGGACCCACGTAATGTTGAGGTCCCCTGCATCTACCCATGGGGTACACATTCCATAGTGTTTTAAATCGTTTGTTTTAAGCCCCCAAAGTCGATGGCTGTTTCGAAAAAGAGCTTTGAGGAAATCGGACAAATAATAAATAATGATAAAATTATGAAAAACTTAATATGACATCATCATTACTGAATTACCGAACTTCTTCCTAATAAGGCAGAGTCTTCGGGAAGACATCAAGGACGCAGCCGTCGGCATTACATAAATTCTGCCAAAAAATATTGACAACCATCTATCATTAGGGTTTGTGGATCACCCTATACAAAATGGAATCATGACATAGAAAGCAATAAGGAAGAGCAACGTGCAATAGATCCAGTTTTACAAAACCACAAAACAGTTATTGGCAGAATAAATCAGGTGAGTTGGGTTGTAAAGGTGATGACGAGTACTTCAAAAGTTCAATAGTAGAAAGTCGCATTACAAGTGGCAAACACGTGGCTGAAAACTACCAAATATGACAGAAACTAGTGAAAAAGTCAGATTGCTGAGTAAAAACTCTGAAGAAAGATAAAAAAGTGAACTGTATCCAATCATCAGTCGCTACGTGAAGGGGCGGGTAAAAAAGTAGGTGAAAAAACGCACAAACTGAGAGTCGTCACGTATTTTTATTTGCGTCCGGTCGAAAAAAGCGACAACCGTCTACTGCTATGAGAAAAGATGGTAAACGAAGAAAAAAGCTACCAAAATTACGAAACCAAAATGCAACCCTACCACTCTGTTAGATAAGAAGTTCAAGAAAACGGAAAATCAGAACCGGCACTCGATTCTTACAGTGAGCTAACGGTGAA